TATTCTGGTTTTGAAAAATCCGATAATTTCTTTAAATTCAAGTGGGGTGTTACAGCTTTTCCCTTGCTTCGGCAATACTTAGCTATTTTTGTGTAATTTTCCCACTATTATTTCCTTACTATTTTCTCTCTCGAATATATGCTGAAGGTGGTCAAATTTGATGCATGGAATTGCATGGAAATGGTGCCCATGCTCGGTTATTTAAGGGAGTAAAACCGTGTGGTAAATTTGAGGTCAAGGGAGATGATAGATGACCACACTTCCCTTGGTTACAAGTGTCCGAAACGTGGCTGATGTGGGGCGTCTTTTAGCTTTGTCACGGCCGAGGTGTCAAGCATGCACGGGCTTAGTCATCGCCCATGCGTTCGTGGCGCGCCGTGTATGCAAGCTACTAGGTGAGTCACCCTTGCAACTTGCACTCCAACCTCATCTCATGGAAATTCCTCACGGCTAATCTAAGGAAAAAGGATTTGGACTACTTAACCTTGATCATAATGCTAAGCATCATATAAGCATGCGCTTAGTAGCTCATTGATGCGCGTGCTATGCGCTGCGCGCGGTAATGCGTACTGCGCGCGTTCGCGTGCGCGGCCGTACGCACAACATGCGTGCACAAGTGCGTGCATAATGTACCTTGTGCATTTATACCTTAACTTGATTTTTTACTTTAAAATTTAATCCGAACATTCTTAACTTTCAATAATTAATCCCGATTAATAATGTCCATTTATAAAATAAACGGTTCGGAAATTAATTATCGAATTGACTCGGTTAATAATTAACCGGATAAACTCTTCGACTTATCGTCGAACTTATTCGCTGAAAATGAACGGAATCGATAAAAGATAATACATCATTTCTATTAACAAGAAGTTGGGTTATTACAATCTACCCCCCTTAAATATTTCCGTCCTCGGAAATATAAAACATAACATATATACATGAAAATATACATATCAAAACTGAAAGTCGGGAAAACGAGCGCGAATGTCAGTCTCCTGCTCCCAAGTAGCTCTGTGGTGATCTCACTAAATACGGATGAGGGGAACATTACGTTTCCAGAGCCGTCGAACCTGTCGGTCCAACACAGCTACCGGTCGCTCCTCGTAAGATAAGTCTGATGAATCTCAATATCAGTATGAGGAATGACATGATCGGGGTCGCACACGTACTTACGTAACATAGATACATGAAAGACATTATGAACACTGGATAACTCGGGAGGTAAGGCTAAACGATACGCAACATCGCCCACTCGCTCGAGTACTTCTAACGGGCCAATAAACCGAGGATGTAACATCCCTCTCTTCCCGAATCAAAAAACTCCGCGAAATGGACTAACTCTGAGAAAAGCGTGCTCACCAACCTCGAACTGAATATCTCGTCGATGATGATCGGCGGTTGATTTCATTCTGCTCTGAGCTGTTCTGAGTCTCTGCAGGATCAACTCGACTTTCTCGGCTGTCTCCTCGATCAGCTTCGGACCGAGTACTCGACGTTCTCCGACGTCGTCCCAATAAATAGGGGAACGACATTTACGACCGTATAGTGCCTCATAAGGAGCCATCTGAATAGAAGAATGATAACTGTTGTTGTATGCGAACTCTACGAATGGCAACAACGACTCCCATTTAGCACCCCTGTCAACAGTCAAAGCACGTAACATATCTTCCAACGTCTGTATAGTCCGATCCGTCTGTCCATCAGTCTCGGGATGGTAGGCTGAACTGAAAGCTAGCTTTGTACCCACTGCCTCGTGTAAACTCTTCCAGAATCTACTGGTGAATCTGGGGTCTCTGTCTGACACGACAGTAACAGGTACTCCATGGAGTCGGACGATCCCACGGACATAAATATCAGCCAACCGATCCAAAGACATACTCATCGATACTGGCAAGAAGTGGGCAACTTTAGTCAATCTGTCGACCACGACCCAGATAGCGTCGTGATGTTCAGACGACCTTGGTAAGCCCGTGACAAAATCCATCGCAACCTCCTCCCACTTCCACCTCGGAATCGGTAGTGGTCGTAGAAGGCCTATGGGACTCTTATGCTCGGCTTTGACTTGCTGACAGGTCAAACATCTTCTTACAAAGTCGGCAACATCTTTCTTCAATCCTCTCCACCAAAACGACCCTTTCAGGTCATGGTATATCTTTGTACTTCCTGGATGGGCTAGATAGGGTGCAGTATGAGCCTCAGTTAGAATCTCCTTCCTCAATGCTTCGACTTTAGGCACCACAATCCTGCCACGAAACTCCAAGGCCCCATCAGTGCCTCGGTGAAAACCCTCGACGCCTCCGGCACGAACCTTGGCATCAATCGTACGAATAAACTCATCTGAAGCCTGCTCTTGCTGGATTCTCTCCCTCAACGTCGGCTGAACTTGCATGGAACTCACACTCCCCAAACTGGCGGTAGAAAGTGCATCAACCAGCTGGATCTGCATCCGGGCGAACTCATGAATCAACTGACTCTGCTGAGTAACAACATACATCAAGTCACCTTTCACCTTGCGGCTTAGGGCATCAGCAACAACATTCGCCTTTCCCGGATGATACTGGATCGTACAATCGTAATCCTTGACGAGTTCTAACCAACGGCGCTGCCTCATGTTGAGCTCCTTCTGGGTAAAGATATACTGCAAGCTCTTATGATCAGTAAAGATTTCGCATTGACCGCCGTATAGATAGTGTCGCCAAATCTTGAGGGCATGAACAACTGCAGCTAATTCCAAGTCGTGCGTCGGATAGTTCTGTTCATGTATTTTAAGCTGGCGTGACGCATAAGCAACGACCTGGCCATCTTGCATAAGTACACATCCCAAACCCTGCCTCGAAGCATCACTATAGATGGTGAAGCTCCGAGAAGGATCTGGTATAGTCAACACCGGTGCCGTCGTAAGCCTCCTTTTCAGCTCCTGGAAACTCGACTCACAACGGTCTGTCCACTCGAACTTTACAGACTTCCTCGTCAACTGAGACAAAGGGAGTGCAATCTTCGAGAACCCTTTGATAAATCTGCGATAATAACCTGCAAGGTCGAGGAAACTACGAACCTCGGACGGATTCTTTGGTGCTGACCAATTCTGGACTGCAGCAATTTTGGAAGGATCAACTTCAATACCTGCTGAAGTAATAATGTGGCCAAGAAAAGCCACTCGCTGAAGCCATAATTCGCACTTGGAGAACTTTGCATATAACTTCTCTCATCTAAGGGTCGAAAGAACGGCCCTCAGGTGCTCCTCGTGCTCCTCCTGGCTCTTGGAATAAATAAGAATATCATCGATAAAAACAATAACGAACTGGTCGAGAAAAGGATGAAACACACGGTTCATCAAGTCCATGAATACTGCCGGGGCATTACTGAGGCCAAACGGCATAACCACGAACTCGAAATGACCGTATCTCGTACAAAAAGTTGTCTTGCGTATGTCTGACTCCTTGATTTTCAGTTGATGGTAGCCTGAACGCAAATCGATCTTAGAAAACACGCAGGCACCCCTCAACTGATCAAATAAATCATCGATCCTGGGATGCGGATATTTATTCTTGATCGTCAACCGGTTAAGATCCCGGTAGTCGATACACATACGCATGGATCCGTCCTTCTTCTTGATAAAAAGGACTAGTGCTCCCCAAGGAGAAACGCTCGGTCGTATAAAACCGAGATTCATCAACTCTTGGATTTGGGTCTTTAATTCCTGCAATTCTTTAGGCGCCATTCTGTACGGTGCCTTTGAAACGGGTCCGGCTCCAGGGATAAGATCAATAG